TTCATAATTATGTCAATCTAGATTTAAGCACGTGTTTCTATAAGAAGGTCCTGCCCAATGTCATGTGTATGAGCACGGTACAAATGTTATGGAGTTTCGATCAAATATTTGCACAAAGAAAATTTAACTGAAGCTTGTATATTTTCTTTATTTTCATTGATATAGAACCAAGCCAATTAAGCCCTTTCAACTGTGATTTCACACCAAAATTTAAAGATAAATATGAAAGCAATGAAACATTTAAAATTTAATTTCCAGGCATGTTTTTCGTTTACCACGATTAAATTCAGTTGTTGTGAATAAAGCTATTGGGGACAATAGCAACATGTACTTAACACATATTGTAGCTATCTTAAATGAAAACAAAGCAGCAATTCTAAGTGAAGAAACAAATCAAGGATCGATGTTTCCACGAGACTAATGCGACACAGTTGATTAAAAAAAAATATTTTTATTTTTATTCTCTCACTCTTATAGCCAATGGTGGCTAGTCCCGCTGAAGTTCATCCCTTCATCTCTTAGAGCCAATGGTGGCTAGTCCCGCGGAAGTTCATCCCTTCATAGTTGACGCCGCTGTGAATGTGGCCGTGTGTCCAGCCGTTATCGCAGCCAAGTATTTCAACATGAGCCCCGCTACTTCCTGGACACGTCCATGTGTTATAAACGTATCTCGTTTGGTTCCGCCCTTCTCCCTTGACCACGAGCCTGTCGACCCAACGTCCGACAGAAACCATCTTTGGGCGACCGTGCGGGTGCGACACGATGAAGTTGAGCTGGCCCGCATCGCTGGAATGTTCGTAGTTGTTGTATACTTTGTACCAAAGCTGCCGCCATCTCGTGTACATCCTGTTCAGTCTTTCCAGCAATTCAACGTCACAAATGGTGCGCTCCAACAGGGAAACATCGTCCTCAACACTAAGTTTGCGTACCGTCCAAGCAAAAATTTTGACCTCAGGACTATCTTGCGTGTCAAAGAAAAATCTACATGATGCTTGCGCTGCCTCAGTTTGGTCGAAGATGACGTGCGTGGCCGTGTACACGCCGACCTTACCACAAACTCTGCTGGGAGTCTCAGAGTTGAGGCACCGGGGGCATGGGCAGGTCTCGGCGGTGGACCTCTCCGTGAACTTTTCCACACGGCATACCATCCCAGTTCCCATACGCGTGCCGTGAGTTTGACTCATGTTGAAGAGCGGGTATCGGTCTGTGGAATTTGGATAAAACTCCGGTCGCGCTGGAGTGATCGCTGTGACATTGACCATGACCGTAACCTTCGGGCAGGTGCTTTTAGGCTGAACTAACACATGTGGAAGATTTTATCTATAAATTCTGAGAGTTTTCTGTAGAGCAATTGTAGGCTTTGAAAAAAAGGCAAATTTTAGATAAGAAGATTCTTTTATTGATCCAAACAAACGGAAATGGTTTATTTGTACATTTTCAGCACATACATAAAACAATTTGAACAGAGGACATCTACATTACATGTTTTCACTAATTTAAAAAAAACAGCCATCCAGTGAATTCTCTTCGTTATAACAGGGAATTATTAGTTGTCATTAAGAATGATGTCTTCTGGGAGGACATGCTGGTCAATTTGTACAAAGTGGGGAGCAAAAGAATTGTAATATCTTTCAGTCCTCGCCCTGACAGAAAGAATTCTTCCCGAACGGGCCGATCCTAAGTATTTGTGATGAAGAGGGTGGGATGTATCATACAAAATGTGTTTAGTTTGACAAAAAACATCTTTCTTCAAATTGTTCTTCAAGTGAAGGATGATTAGCTTGTGTTATGTTCCTAGCTTTCTTGATTAGTCTGTTTATTTGGTGTTTTATATTACACGATGAATGCCCACCTGCAGGTAATACTGAAATTAAGTAGGCTTCCATTTGTTGCACTGTAGAGTAAGTTAACGACTTGGGTAGAAAAGTCTTTGGTTAATTTTTTAATATAGCATTAGGCCGTGCTTATGCCATGTGAGCTTATTATTAATGGTGACACCTAAGTACTTATATGCCTCTACTTTCTCTACACTTTGAATTTTTTTTTTGAGATCTGTCATCTGGTGTTTCTCATTTTTTGAGACATGCATATTGAGAAAATTTTCATCGCACAAATTGATGAAGCTTGTAACTAAGTTGCGGTATAAGCCCTCTCCTTCAGATATTAAGCCAACAATGGTGGTATCATCAGACAATTTAATGATTGGAATTAAGTGTTTTCAAAGCGTAGAATAGAATAGTTTAAGGCATTGAATAGAAAGACGGTATTGTTAAAATTTACTTTACTTACTTACTTCTGCCTTTTACCCCGTCAGGGGCATATGCGGTTTACAAGAATTTTCTATTCATCTTGGTCCTGTGCTTTCCTTTCCATTTATTTTCAGGTGTATCTCATTATTTGTTTGTCTGCCTCTAGCTCGTGTCTCCGTATATTCTTATGCCTTCCTCTCTTTATTTTCCCTGTGGATTCCACGTAAGGGATTGTCTAGTGATGTTATTTGAGGGTTTTCGGAGAGTCTGCCCTATCCACCTCCACCAATAGGCTCCTTGTATGTCCTTTCCAGTACTAAAAACACTAATCTGTGCTCTTGTTCTCTCTCCTCTTGAGTATTGTAATTTTCTTCCGTCAGATTCAGCAAAACATTTCCCAAAGAAACTGTAGCAAATTCAAATCTCAGCTGCTAAGTTAGTTGTAAAGACCAAAAAAAAAAAATGCGTAGTCACGTAACTCTACTACTTCACTCACTATATTGGCTCCCTATACAGACATGCATTGATTAAACCCTGTTTGTTCTCTGTCACACCTTTTTCTCCGCTTCCTGCCCTTCATATCTTACTGAACTTCTTACTGTCTATTCACCCCTTCGAAAGCTTCGTTCCTCCGCATTTACGCGTATTCTTCCTGATCCTAGAACCCACACACAAAAACATATGGTGAAAGATACTTCTTTTTCTGTGCCTGAAAACAATGGGATTCTCTCCCATTAGACATCCCCAATATAACGACCATCACAGCTTTCCAACTGCTGTCAAGACCCATTTCTTCAAAATGTATTATTCCGTCTCATTCTGACTTCATTCTCCCTTGTAACTGATAAACAACGCTTGATTCTGCTGGGTGCTGTCCATGGCTAGACAGGAGTAGACAGTACTTGGGTGGGTGATGTCAAGCTTTTCATCAATTGTTCTTTTTAAATGTATACGTTTCTGTAATTACTAACTTTTATGTGAAGCGCAGTGAGCCTTAGGCTCGGGCTTTGCGTTTTATAAAACCACCTAATAATAATACTAATATGCAAGATATTTCTAAGGCAAGTTTTAAGAAGGTCAGTACTCTCTGCGTAATACTCTCTGTTGTTATCCAAGTTTAGGCTCCATAGAATAGGAGTGTTTTGACGTTTGTTTAAATATTCTGGCTTTGAGTTTTTTTTTTCAATATGTGTAGAGGGGACGCCGTTTCAGAGAGGGTTACATTTCTCAAAATACCCGGCCCGGGGTAAAAAAAAACCACTGCTCCCGGCTCAGGACAGGTATACATGTATGTCATCTAATCTCTCCGATTTTAATTATGTTTTCAAGTGGCCATTGAAATCAAGTCTTTAAAACACTTTTTAATTTTTAATTAAAAATGCATATTTTATGTAAAACTCACAGTGCATCAACTCCCAAAAGGCTCCACTTAAGGAGATCTAATACTTTTTTTTAAAAAAGGCCTTATCAGTGCCCTTAGACACTGTCAGGGGTGAGATCTTTATCCCCGAGACACTGTCGCGGATGGGATCTGTGTCCCCCAGACACTGTCGGAGGCCAGACTATAGTTATGAAAGAATTCTATGCACACTGAACATATCTCAGTTCTATGCACACTGCACATGTCTCAATTCCATGCACACTAAAAACATCCCAGTTCTATGCACACTGAACATATCTCATTTCACCCAAACTGCAATCTCAATTCTATGCACCTTGCATATATCTCATTTCTATGCACATTGCACAAATATCAATTATACGCAAAAGGAAAATATCTCCATTATATGCACACTGCACACATCTCAATTCTATGAACACTTTATATATCTCATTTCTATGCCCACTGCACATATCTCATTTCTATGCCCACTGCACATATCTCATTTCTATGCACACTGCACATATCTCATTTCTATGCCCACTGCACATATCTCATTTCTATGCACACTGCACATATCTCATTTCTATGCACACTGCACATATCTCATTTCTATGCACACTGTACATATCTCATTTCTATGCACACTGCACATATCTCTTTTGTCGTGAAAAATAAACAACTTCAAAAAAAAAACAAAAAAAAACAATAACGTATCTATTTTAAAATGTTTTTAAAAACTTGAACAACAAAAATTGAATAGCATTACACCGAGAAGTGAGGATAAAGGAATAATCAATGTCTGGTTCCATGTTTGTCGTCGCTAGCCAGGTAACTTTACGGTTGCCAGGCGAGACGAATTAAGTACCCCCTAGCATGCCGAATCTGGGCCGTAATTTGAGGACCCCTGCTCTACCTCGAGAACTATCCATAAAGTTTTCAGTTAATTTTAATGTTAAACCACTTTGTTCCATCACATTTGTGATTAAGACAGCAGAAAGGATACGTGTTTATATGAATTTTAATATAGAAAAAACTACATCAATGAATGGGATCGAGTGAAAATTTATCCCTAGAGTCAAATAATAATCATTCCGTTTTTTTTTTTTTAAATTCTCTGTATTGAAATTAAATTATTATACGGTATATTAGAAAGAGAAAATGCCACATTTTCTTTGAGTAGCCTAATCCTAATAGTTACCCAAAGCCAATAAATTATATACATTTGTTTGTTTAAAAACCAAACAGAGCAAGTCTCTGCTGTATCTGCGGGTATGAATATGCAAGTGTTATGACGACTACGACTAAATAAATTAAAAATAATAATGGGAATTTCCAGTTTTTCCAGGTCTCCGTGGTTGCAGTGTAAACAATCTGCCAAGTGTTCATCCAGATATATCTATTTATTGTGATAAATTAAAAAAATATATATATATATTAAATAGATCAAAATGAAGTAAACTATTTTCGGGTAAATTTTTATAAAGTAGCTATTTTTTTAAATTTATTTCTAACATGTATTATCTTAATGTTACCAGACATACAATTATTTGTTTCGTTGACAAATAAGCCGCTTTATGGCACCAAGCAAACAGAATGATAAAATTGAACTTTATTACGTTCTCAGCTGGGCAAAATTTTATTTATATATTTATATTTCATATTTACTGCATCAATCTAAAATATATATTTTTACACATAACTTATATCACTTAGTCGTTTATCGAAATTAAATTTTGTAGATGTTTTAAATAATTAAAATGGTCGACTTGGTGACTGTATGGCCAAGTCAAGCAGAGAAGATCAATTTGGATAGGTATTTTATTTTTCGTTTTTTTTTCTTCTTTTTTTCTATCCTTAAATCAGTTAATGTTGAAGAAAAAACAACAACACCTACTAATTTATATTTCTTATATTTGATCATTAAACGCATCAATCTAAAATATTTTGTAACATAAATTATATCATTTAGTGCTGTATCTTAATTAAATTTTGTAGATGTATTAAATAATAAAAAAATGATACCTTGTTGACTGTGTGGCCCAGTCAACAAGAAAAAATCCACCTGGATAGGTAACTATTATATTTTTAAGTTCTTTTCTTTTTCTTTCCTTTTTTTAAAAAAAATTGGTTAATGTAGAAGAAAAAAAAATAACAAACAAAAAATGAATTGTTTATTATGACGTCCTTTCTTATCTGCAACAGAAAGTATGATGAGCTGCATCTTGGCGAGTGACATAGAATTTTAAAGACAGTGATGAAGAGACAGTTTGAAAGAGGCTATATAAATATTTTCTAAAGGTAATAATCACCGAGACGGATCAAACATCATCTCCCCTAATGAACAAGATAATTGTAATTTAAGTTACAAAGTCGATCCTCTCTTGCAGTTTATGAAACAGGAACCATAACGAACTTCATATTTCCACCTACACACTCGATATTTTAATATTTATCTATGCATTTTTTAAATTATTCTCAAGTTTTATGACACATGTTTCTGTACATAGTTACTTGTTACTGTGCTACCATATTACTATTGATTGTTCCCATCAATACAAGACGTGTTTTGTTTGTTATGATTGTATCCCAGCAAAAATATTGATTCAACATTAAATGTATAAGTGACTTATGCTTCGGTCAGTTATTATTCGATAAGCTATGAGGGGGATTTGCTACAGCTATTGACGTTCGGGTACGAACAAGTTTTTATTTGAATAGATACTGTCGCTGTAGTAAATGATATTTCTATATGCATGAAATCCACTCTAAGCTAAAAATTACAGCAACGATCTATGTGTGTGTGATGAGGCGTGAGATATTTGAAGTGCATGCCGGGCAAACAACGAGCTGTGATGTTTTCCGATTACCTTCAGAAACGAATGGACAAACAGGTGGGAAATTGAATGTTTTAATCAAGCTTTTCTCGTCTTTCCTTTTTTTTCTGCAGTGGAATGAAATATAATAATATAATATCCAAATATAACTTAAGAAAAACTCTCAAGGCCTACATATTCAAACTAAAGTGAATGACATTTCAATTTTTCTGTTTTTAAGGTAGCGTGCGATTTAAAAAACAACGCACCATATCATTAAACCTGTCATTAACAGTTAAAACTTATTAGCGATTTATAGTTTTCATTAAGGAAAAATATTATTTTTCATATACAATTTTCACCAACGTTATCAGTGCCATTATGTTAAATATGAAAAGTAAAGAAAGCATCCAACATACTAGTAAACAAAGACACACATATTTAAAAGATTAGATTTCAATTGAACGCACGATTCAAAAACGTATCGCATTGTGTTTCGGATAATACGATGAAACAAGTTTGTTTTTTTATTGATGACCAGCATTTTTTTCCCCTCATTCAAAGATTGTAATAATAGGACGCCACGTAATCAAGGTGTTGTTGCCCGCGATGAATTATACGATTCGCCTGAATACTTTTTTGTATTCCAAAGGTTTGTAAGCTCTACTTCTCTGAACTTTTAGAAATGTGTTTTATCTATTATATATGTATATAAAATGGTTGATATTTTTTACATCTGTCTCTCAATGTCTGTAATTAAAACAGTGTCCATGCTATTTAATTCGCAGAATTGCTTTAGGATTATCTCTTGTGGCCGCTACGTTGGTCGCGGTGTCATTTGGCCTGGTACTTCATAACACCTGGAAGGTGAGTCCGCACTCAGAGGCCGCCCATGATGGCGTTCATTGACACCTAGAGTTGAAATGTGAGCGCACTTAAACGTATTTGAAAAAAAAAATAATTAAATGTTCGAATTTTTGTTCTTTGCGCTGTCTTTTTAAGCTAAATCAATAAAGTAAAAACAAAGTAGACCATTCTCAGGGTGGGAGCAATGAGCTGCATTCATACTCTCTTTGGATTGTTTCTAAATCAATGTAAAAATTTAATAGTGAAATCAAAGAAACTTTTCTTTGCAATCAGAAACCACACTGTCGTTGTAAGTCTGATATTTGTGAGGTGGCTTTTTCATAATTATTTTGTAAAAAAAAAAAATAGCTTTATAAAAAAAAATATTTGCATTTATGTGTTTAAAACTCTTGTCGTTTTCTTTCAGACAACCGAGGGGTACAGACGAGACTCAGCATATCAAACATGTGTTTATAAAATTCAGCGACAATTTGAATTTCGAGATAAAACAGCTTTCCTAGACGATATGTTGAACTGTAAAGAAATATACTCTAAAGTGAAGAACATATCAACCCTAGTAAATTACAGTAATGTACGTTCCACGACTCTGAGAAAGACAGATACGTTTTGGCTCTTAGGCATTGGAAAAAACAAGCATCATGCTGGATTTAAAAAATAGCGTGTTTCTTTTGTTTTTTGTTTTTGTTTTTAATTTACTTGTCGCAGAAAATATGTTGAAAAAAAACCCCTACATCTAGTTTATTGTAAAAAAAAATAGAGTAACAACCAAATAAATTCAAGATATTTGCAAATAAATGGTGTCCTAACATATTGCGGTGCATTTAAAAAATATGAAATATCATGAATAATTAAAAATACTTGGATCAGGATACGTTCCCTTCTCTTATTACGAGTAAAAAAATTGGCAATATTTGGTTTTGTAGTTATACACTTTATGTTAATATGTTTTCAGATAATTGACAAAATCTTATTGTTTTTCAGCGTTTCAAAATAACAGTCTACAATAGCTGTAAGAATAAAAATGAAGAATTACAATATGTTACAATATGTTCATGTTTTAATTATATGAATAAATAATCCAGCGAATTATTTTTTTTTTTTTAATGAATTACTAAACATAACTGACATCCATAGTTAGATAAATTAGACAGCTAAAAAATACCCATACTTTTATTTTAAGTTTGGTTGACTTATGTTTTTTTTTTTTTTTTTCATCTAAAGCACATGGAGATATCCCAAGACAATTCGTCTCACACGCTCAAGTCAGTGCCCACATCATTTTATACGAGCCACCGTCCGACGATTTTTTTTTTTTTAATTAATTACTAAACATAAATGAAATCCATAGTTAGATAAATTAGACAGCTAAAAAATACCCATACTTTTATTTTAAGTTTGGTTGACTTATGTTTTTTTTTTTTATTTTCATCTAAAGCACATGGAGATATCCCAAGACAATTCGTCTCACACGCTCAAGTCAGTGCCCACATCATTTTATACGAGCCACCGTCCGACGGCGAAACTAATGGAAGTGAAGGTAAACATCGGCGTAGAGAGTCAGGCTTATATCACAAGCTCCGTAAATGTCCGTAAGCATTTTTGTCGGAACTTCAGGAATGTCGGTAAGAAAATGCGGCACTGATTGATTTTTAAAAAAAAAATGTTTGAAGCGAAACAAAACGGGACACCTTAATTTTTGTTAATTTTTGTTGTTGTTGTTTTGTTTCTTCCTGATTTTATGTAAACCTGTTGGATAATAATATGTAAACATGCGACACTGATGAGAACGCTATAAAAAAAAAGTAATTTTATAAAAAAAGGCTCAACTCTGAAGCTCAAATGACATAGCCCGAGCCAGTCATAGCATAGTCGTACAGAAATTTGTGTTTTTATTCATTCAAATTTTTGTTCTGCTTCTTTAAGTTTATTTTAAAATGTGTCCTTAAAAATATAATTGTGCCTGCACATCAACAAAAGCAATACAAATGTTGCACCCTTGGTATAATTGATACGTGCATTTTATTTATGCTAGTTTACTTGACGTGTGGAAATGCATAAAATATTCAGATTGCAAACATTTACTAATTATGATTTTCAATAGGTTTACAGTTATTCATTTGTTAAAAAAAATATCATGCCATTCAATAATTAACTAATTAAAGTCACTACACTTCATTTGAGAGGTTGGGGTTTTAAAAAAATCTATTAAAAATATTATTGTCGGATTTGTAAGACTAAATGAGGTGTCAAATGAAAGATAATTGAATGGGCTATATGTTGTAAACTTAATTCTTCAGTTTAACTAAAATAAACTACCACAAATGACATCCGAATAGCACTGAGTCAAAATGGACCCAGACGTTCGCACCCGTGTACCATTTTTGTGTGTGTGTGTGTCTATCTTTCTTTTGTTTTTGTATTGTTTGTTCCGTTGTCTTGTGTTGCTATTCAAGGTGTGAAATACACGCGTTACACATAGTGTTTCGTAGTGCTACATTCACATGGATCAAACGAAATCTATATGTGTAAAGCTAAACACCACTCACAAGATGATGGCGATATCTCAAGAGGAAGTGTTATGTACGATTTCCCCGTGCCGTGAACTTTGTTTGACCACAAATAAGATTCCTAGCAGACGCTACATTTGTTGTGGGCGTGGTTTAATCTCTTTTGATATGTCGTGTTTACTATCGACTACCAATAAAACATGGTTAGTCTGTCTCCTAGTATCTTGTCGAACATTCTCGATTTGCCGAGAAACGTAAACAATGTCTGAGTAGTTTCTGGAAGGCAGTGCCTACGCTGCATATATAAGGGATTGACAGGGACGGAGGTTCACGGAGATTAATAGAAAGATTCAGATAGATATTAATAACCTTACGAAACAATTGTATTATTTCTTTGTGTGCTCATAAGTGTTTATTCGCATTGATCATTCATCAGTATTAATTGGCACATTGTACTAGTTGTGTACCGGTACAAGATTTTCCAATACTCTGTAAGTTGATGATTTGTAACTATATTTCTTTTGTTTTGTAATTTGTATTATTGCTAAATTAAATCTTATGAATTGTAATTGGGAACTGTTTTTGCGTGTCGTATCTTTATAATTGTATTTCTCCATGGTATCGTCCGTTGTTGAGCACTGTGTGAACGAGCCATAACGTAAAACAAGAGATTAATTTCTCACAATAGAAGCCAGTGAGTAACAAGGAGTCTTAAGAAGTTGACATCTTGCATGGTGATTCCTCTTATAATCTAGAGTCTTGAGATCTAAAAAAAAAAAAAAAAAAAAAATTCCCAGCCAATCCATTGACTAATTTTGCTATAATTTAGATTTCCAAAATGAAAGCCCTCTATATGTTTCTTTAAAAATTCATAGACTGTTTAATATAGTTTCCTTACGTGTTTCGTTCTCTCAAACACTGTTGCGAAGTAATGGTATTCACTTAGTCTCTAATATTTTCACCATTTTTTTCCCCAACTTCGTCAACTAAGATCACGTTGTCACCATGATGAGAATCACCCAGACAGAGTCAAGTACCAGCTCTGGACATGCACGTGGGGTCTACATCAACACCGACAGTGTGGTGATCTTATTCTCTGGTGAGACGCCCGTGGAAATGTCTATCATTGTGTCGTTATCTTTTCACCCACTGGCCGCTACACTTAGGCTTACGGGCAGACATATAATAAAAAGGGAAATAGAATAAACAAGTGAGAATTGATTATTTTTACTTTTAGCGATGTTCTTCCAAGGTTAATAGTATACAATTAAATATATGTGATTTAGAAATAATGTGTTTAATATTTTAAAATAAAATCGAACTTAATCATTTAATAAACACTCATTTAAAAAATGAGTTCCACCACCATTTTGAATGAGGCGTAGTTTAAAAATGAATTTCAAAATACACAATTTATCCCAAAAAATCTTTTGAAAATATTTGCATTAAAAATGCATAAATAAATAAGCTTGAAACTAAATCTAAACTTTTTGTTTCACAGGAATAAGCATCTTTATCTTTCATTTTATCCGTGCATTTATTTGTGACAATCGGCTAAGGATTAACTCAGCAAATCTCAAACTAAACAACACTCTTACATGGGTTACTTTGAGTAATCAGCTCAGCTGGGCTTCAAAGCGTCACATGTGAGCTCAATACACATTGTCCCTGTTTGTGGCTCATTTTCTTCTGTTATTGCTTCGGACGTCGCAGTAACACAATAACACACGTTTTTTAGCTGATATTTTTTTTTTGTTGAATGGTTGGATATAAAAAGGACACCGATTACAACAATCCTTACATCTCAACACTGCCACATGACTGTCTCTAAAAACACACACACACATACATAAAACACATCAATTAAAATTGTTTAAAAATCATACCTAAAAATGTAATGGCACGCTGTATGTGATTTCAGGTTTCTATTACGTCTACACCAGTATTGAATATAATCTTAATAAGACCAATTCTTCACTAAAATGGCAAAAGGAGGTATGCTTTATATAAACCTTCATTTTTCTGAAAAGGTTTGTGCTCTTGATTCTTTTTAAAATAATAATTATTGTTGTATAAAAAAAAATGATCAAATTGGTTTTGTTTCTCAAATAAGGAACATCAAATCTATGCTAACCATAATTCCTCTATAATGAACATATCTTTGCATCCGTATTTAAAAAAAATTCAACAAGAAACAGGATGCTTTGAAATAAAGAATTTTTTGAACATTTATTGTTTATTATCATATCGGCAGTTTTCATAATTTTTTATTCTTCTTGGCATTTAGCAATTAACAGTATGAATTTGCATAATACAAGTTCAAAAGATTTCAGATGATTTTATTTGTAGTGTATAAACAACAAACATTTTTAAAAATATTATTTATTGCAACGATGCACACACAATTTTTAAAACTGAAAGTTCTGTTGACAATTGAGGAAAAGTGCGATTTTTTTTAAAGGGAGCCGGGGGTTGGACTAGCAGTATTTAATCAAGCTCGCAGTTTTGGTTTAGAGCAGTGTAAAAATTGTTAAAGGGACCCATTCCATCCCTAGTAGAACAAGCAAGTGTACAAATGGATATTCTAAAAATCTAAGATTGCTTAACATTACTAAAAACTTACAGAGCATATTTTATGGCATATCACTGAATTACTAACAGTGTTCACGAACTAACGAAAAGAAAGACTTGCACGGTCCGTTCCCTTCTAATTAAAGAAAAAAACAAAAAGATATGGTTAGCTGGTTAAATTTTTTTTATCATTGAATGTTTACACGTTCATCTTTGAACAGACAACCTGGTTCCACTATGTGCACCGAATAGGCCCAAACAACCCCATGAACACGGGCGTGCTGCTAAGAACAGTTTACAAGCCATGTCAACTCTGCCATGATTTACCAGAGACCAAATATACTGGTGAGCATGTGTGTTACTTTTGGTGTTTTTGAAAGTGTTTTTACACAGGTCCCTTGTGTTACTTGACGTTCGACTAGCCCGGCCTCTAGAGCTCTGTCTAGGGTATGATACTATTTCCTAATGAAGTACTCTAAACTCATCTCACTCTAACCTTCAATGACACTCCCTCTAGCTCTCACTTCTATTGATGCTATCACATACTAAGAAACACAGGTGGTTCAGCGCACAAATAAATATTTAATTATAAATAGAATTAACGACACACATACACATGTAAAGCAATGACTAACTATACTGACTAATACTTCAGACAATCAATAAAACTCATCAGTACTTTTAAGTACTTTCAAATATCTCCAAGACTTTGTTTATTTTTTTTTTTTTTTTTTTTTTTTGCTTTAGAAAAAAATGTAAATAAAACATCAGTAGCCTCATTAAGCTTACAGTTTAAATTAAAATAAAGTTTACATCAATGGTTATATACCTCATTAAAATGTTTTACAAAAACATTGTAATATTAAAAATAATAATGTGTACATATTTATAATACTAATTTTTTTTGTAGAAAACGCCTACCTGAGGATGAAATAACTTTTAAGTTATAAGCGATACTAAAACAGTATTATTATTATTAACAATTTTGTTGTTGTTGTATTTTATTTAAAAAACGATCTATGTCAAAAATGAATTTATTAATACCGAAACGTGTGAACTAAATATTCTGATGTGTTACTAATGATTTACAAATGTAACCATCTGCAGGTGGCATTTTTCATTTGCGAGTTGGGGACCAGGTCAAGGTGTGTCTATCAGGTCATGGCTTTGTCAACTACGACCCCATGTCGACATATTTCGGACTCATTTTGTTAGCCTCTAAAGAACTTTAGCTTTACACAAATGTTTAGGTTTATTAATAGAATAAGAAATTTACAAAAAAAAATGACTTTCTATTACATTACATAGTTATTTTATTTCAGATTTATACTAATTTGCTAGATATTTATATATATTTAAATTGTATTGCTATTTAAATTAGAGAGTGCATATTTAAATTTGTGTGATAAAATCTATTATTTTTATTATATTTTTAAAGAGTGTATTCTTTTCTTTAATATAACTACATTTTGTTTGACTTACATGAATCTGAAACAAACGGTCGACGATACTATAAACAAACACGCACATTTCATCTAGTGAGCTGCTCTCAGCCTGTGGGCCGCGACCATTTTTGGGGGTCAAAAGACCCTTACACACGGATCGCATACGATCATCGGAAAACGCATATTTATGATGTAGCAGCGAAAATATCTTTATGGTTAGGGGTCACCACAACATGAGGAACTGTATTAAAGGGTCGCGGCACTAGGAACGTTGAGAGCAACTGCATTGAGTAGACATATCGTCGAGACTTAGATTGCTGAATGACAAAGACCACATTCTCTTTCTAAAACTCCAAATCGGCGATTCTCAAATGTTTTCAACTCCCTCGCCGCTTGCTGAAACAAGTTCATCTCATGTATCCTAAACAGTACAGTGGCTTTCACCAAAACGCCAGAGTCACTAACAGCAGGGTGAAAATAGTAGCATGACTGAATACATTATATAAACTGCGTATTCATAACTAAATAACAATATGGGATGCCTTTTTATATGCTATTTAAATTATGTCATAAGTCAATACTATTATCAGATTTAAAAAAAAAAAAAATTCAATTCCATTATCCTAGTTAGACGAATTATTCCTTTTAGCAATCGTGTTTTCATTCCGAAAGCCTTTCTAAATTAGATTAGTTAGACACGAACAATTTGTTTCAGTATAACAATGTTTATTAAGCTTTAAAAATAATTTTACTTAATACACAAATAGACGTTTCTGCACATGCCTCCATCAGTATAACAGCAAACGTTTAAATTTTACATAGTATATATATAATAAAATATATTAAATAATACAAATTATTTGAAAAACACGCTTCATCCCCAAAAGCTCGAAGCGCGGTAAAAGTCACCCATATTAAAAAGAGAAATAAAAACAATCTAAAATTTACCACATTTAAAATCAGACTCAACAATATAAAACTACATACGAGCATACCCAGTCAAAGTCTTTCATCCCGTTTCAACCATTAGCAACACAAGCCAAATACATTAAGTGGAAATAGATGGCAGTCAACATCACTCCAGAAGGTGTTTGCGAAATAGTTACGTTTTTATATCGGTTTTAAAGGACTCCAGTGTCTGGCTGTTTCTGGGAGCAACAGGAAGGGTGTTCCAAATTGTTGGGCTAGCAAATGCAAAAGTGCGCTTTCCGTAAGTCTCAAGGCGAACACACGGTATCGATATTTTGCCACAATCGGATGAGCGGAGCTGTCGTTTGGGTACATAAGGCGTCATGAGTGCTTTGAGATAGGAAGGCGCCAGGTCATGTAAGCAGCGGTAGCACAAAGTTGCAATTTTGTACTCTTTGCGAGCGTGGACTGGCATATATAAGCATATATCCTAACTAAAAAGGAAAAAAAAAAATAGGAGGGGGTGGAAAAATCCGGACAGAAACAAAGTAAAGAAGAATTAAAAGGAAGTGATTTGAAGTAAAATAACCAAACAGGAAAAAGACATGGCATATACGTAAAATTATGGTTTTCGTTTATCCCGTATGAAGTCATTAATTAAATTCTTCATAGAGACCCTATCATGTGTTACTAGTATACAGTATACCAGTTACTGCGATGTATACAATTCCATCATGGTTAGAGCTACTGAAATATTTGGAGACAGGACGGAGAGCCTGTTTATTTATGTTATAAATATGTTCTCTAAAAACTTACCGCATTTTTTATTATTTTTTTTGGACAAAGGATGGTTTAAACAAGGTTGCGACTTGTACAGGTAAAGCCATCTTTTATTCTGAATATTTTCAAAGAGAAAAAGATCTTATCAACTTCAATCGACGACCTGCTTACGTCATCTGTCCCTGTGAATGAACTTTAGCTTACCCAAAGTTTGGCACCGCATTAGGGTGTTGCTTACTAAAAATGGTCTCTCTTGACCTTGTTCACAACTTTATAAAATCAATAGCCTGTATCGTTAGAAGTCTGTAGATAAATCTAGAAAAATTAGAATATGAAAAAAATTGTGTAAGCCCTTTCTAGAAAAATCAGTACAACAGACTATAAAAGCAAGAGAGAGATATGGTTGGGAGATATATATTTTTTTTGGGGGGGGGGGTAGGGGGTGGGGGAGAACGCTATTACGATAGAGCTTTGCTATACGAGACAGAGATTCTTTACTATCATTTGCTGTGTGTATGTAGATTTCCTTTTTCATCATTGCACCTTTTAAATCATTGTACCGGTACAAGCTCTCATTATACTGTACGTTAAAAGCTTTCATTTTATTTTGTTTTTGATTTTCTAATCGATTATTAACATATTAAAATTTATTAAATTCAATTAGCCCTAGTTTGGGTATCGTTATCTTTGATATTGTATTTAACATATGGTATAATAATAATAATAATAATAAAAATAATAATAATAATAATAATAATAATAACAATAATAATAATAATAAAGTTCATTTCAAAAACACGCTTCATCCCCAAAGGCTCGAAGCGCGGTAAAAAAACAAATCTATAATTTACCACATTTAAAACAAACGCAACACTACAAAAACTAATTACAAGCATACAATGTCAAAGTCTTTCAACCCATTTCAACCGTGGGCATCACAGCTAATATGCATTAAATGGAAAATATGGTAGACAATCATCCCAGAAGGTGTTTGCGAAATAAATGTTTCTTTAAATCGGTTTTAAAGGACTCCAGTGTCTGGTTGTTTCTGAGATTGAGTGGAAGGGCGTTCCAAATTGTTGGACCAGCAAATGTGCGCTTTCCGTAAGTCTCAAGGCAAACACGTGGTGTCGAGAGTTTGCCACTATCGGATGAACGGAGCTCTCTAGTGGGTACATAAGGCGTCA